TCATATGAAAACTGACCCTGATATGCAAGATATGCAAGCAAACCTTCTTCCCTGAACCCAGAATCAGCCCTCGGCCAGCGAGGAGTCACAGCACCAACATTTCTGCCAAGGCCCGAATGTTTTCTGCGGTTGCCGTTTTAACCTATTGCAAAACAATGCTGTAGCTAAGTCGGCTCTGTCACAAACATGCACTAGTGGGAAGCCCAGGCAAACATTAAATTGGATGTAAAGAATATGACTTGCTGCGTTACTGCAGCGGTTGCATCTGCCTGCAAACCTCTCGAGCCTTGAACTCGAAGAACCCTCCCGCCGCAAAGCTGCAGAGCCCATGACGCTCTGTGTGCCACTTCTTGGGGGGGCATCCCTCGTCCCCTGTTCTAGCACCAAGAAAGCAACCCACTCCCCCGCTGCCTCCATCCCTGTGAGCCGTAGACTCCGTGATGGTGACATTGCCACCGGAGACGTGCATGTTCGATGCATGGATGGCACCTGCGCGCACAGCATCGCTCAACCGCTGCTTCTACCTAAATGCGCGAACCCGAAGCAGCTGCCTAAGCCCTGAACCCTGAAACCGAAAGCGTAACTTCCGGGGCCGGGCCTGGGCCTGGTCCCGTCTATAGTGAGGCCGCACAAACTTGCGAGTTATGTGGGCAAACCCCACCGCCAACTCTAAGGCGATTCTTGTGCGAATGGAGATGGCGCAATTGTATTTTTCAGAGCAGCATTAGCCAACCCTTAATGTCAGACTGAAAAATCACCAACAGCTGGGAGCTTCTACAAAGGCTTTCAAACCCGCACCAGCATTCTACACTTAACCAACGTATTTGCAACGGACTCGTGTCCAGGCTTGAAGCATCGACGCATCGCTCATGCTACCGACATGATCTCATACTGTCGGCTGCCAAGGCCAGAAAACCGTTAGTGATATGAAAACTGACCCTGATATGCGAGCAAACCTTCTTCCCTGAACCCAGAATCAGCCCTCGGCCGGAAAGGGGGCACCGCTTATATACATTTGCACTCAGCCCAGAATCAGCCCTTGACACCAACATTTCTGCACAGGCCTGTTTTCTGCCATTCTAAACTTTCACAACAATGCTGTAGCTAAGTCGGCTCTGTCACAAACATGCACTAGCGGGAAGCCCAGGTAAACATTAAATTGGATGTAAAGAATATGACTTGCTGCGTTACTGCAGCGGTTGCATCTGCCTGCAAACCTCTCAAGCCTTGAACTCGAAGAACCCTCCGCCGCAAAACTGCAGAGCCCATGACGCTCTGCGTGCCACTTCTTGGGGGGGCATCCCTCGTCCCCTGTTCTAGCACCAAGAAAGCGACCCATTCCCCCGCTGCCTCCATCCTCCTCAGCCTCACACTTCGTGATGGTCACGCCGCCGCCGGAGACGTTCATGTCCAATGCATGGATGGCACCTGCGCGCGTGTGGCAGCGTCGCTCAACCGCTGCTTATACCTATATGATATGCCCGAACCCGAAGCAGCTGCCTAAACCGGAATCCCTAAACCCTGAAACCGAAAGCGATACTGCCGGGGCTGGGCCTGGGCCTGGTCCTCCCGCTGCACGCGAGTGTGAGACCGAACAAACTTGGGAGCTATGTGTGGGCAAACCCCACTGCCAACTCGAAAGCGTTCTTGCGCGAACGGAGATCTCACAAGCATATGAGATATGAGCAACTGAGTATTAATGTTGCAGCCAGGCAATACGAAAGCTCACTATTGAAGCTCTGTGGAGATCAATGCCCGCCAACTCGGCGGAACCGCAGGTTTCCTGGAAGTACACATTGGATGAGTTCTTTCAGAGCAGCATTCGCAAACACAAATTAAATGTCAGATCACCAGCAGCTGGGAGCTTGTACTAAAGCTTTCACCACCAGAACTTGCGAGCGTACTGATTGATAGCTTTAACCCCGCACCAGCATTCTACACTTAATCAGGGGAGTTGCGAAGGAATCGGATCCAGGCTTGTGAGCATCGACCAGATCTGTCACGCTACCCGCATGATCTCATACTGTCGGCTCTGCAGGCGAGAAGGCCGGTGAAGATACGCAAGCTGACGACCTTGATATGCAAGCTGGCCTTCTTCCTTCAACCCAGAATCGGACCCGGCCAGCAAGGACTCACTGCTTATGCTTTGCACTCAGCCCAGAATCAGCACTCGACACCACCATTTCTGCCAAGGCCTGCTTTCTGCCATTTAACTTTTATCAAGTACACTGCTGTAGCTAAGTCGGCTGGGGCAAAAAGATGCACCAGTGGAAAGGCCAGGCAAACATTGGTTTTCAAAAATATGACTTGCTGCGCTACTGCAGCGGTTGCATCTGCCTGCAAACCTCTCAAGCCTTGCACCCGAAGAACCCTCCGCCCCAAAACTTCATAGCCCGTGACGCTCTGCGTGCCACTTCTTGGG